GTTCCTGCCCAGACAAAACCATTTTGCCCAAGCTCGAATTTTTCACCTCCATTGGCGTCCTCCCCATACTGGCCGGGAAGCTGTCCCGAGCCCCTAACGCCTTATGGTACAGCCTGAAGAACTCAATCATTCCCTCATATGCTTTCCTGAAAAACCTGCTCAGGTCGGATAAGCTGGTAGTGCAAGTCTTTAAACGGGATCCCCTGATCTTCGGCTGGTGTCTAGCCGGCAACTTCTCCTCCAACCTCTCATTTCTTGCAGCCTGTGGGGTCCCCTCATCGTCTCTCATCACGCTGGTCACGAGCCAGCCAAGCGTTCTTAGGGCTTCTCCAGAGAAGCTATCCTCGCAGGTGGATCGAGCAATAGAAATGGGGTTTCTCGTGTCCAAAGATGCATTTTTGAAGGCCATTCGGGTTTTGGTGGGTTTTGAGGAGTCGACCCTTAAGCGCAAGATGGAGGTTTATAGGCAGTGCGGCTGGTCTGAATCAGACATCAGAACGGCCTTTCTGAGTCAGGCGCTCTGTATGGGCTTGTCTGAGAAGAAGATATTGAAGAGTATGGCTTTTCTCGTTGATAAATTCGGGTGTGCACCAGGTGACGTGGCTCGGTGCCCTATGCTTCTTGGGTACAGCGTTGAAAAGAGAATGAAGCCAAGGTGGGCAGTTGCTACGGTTTTGAGTGAGAAGGGGCTGAAGAATGCTTCTGTCACGTCCTTGCTGACAGTGTCCGAGAAGATTTTCTTGAAGACCTATGTCGAGAAGTACAAGAAGCATATTCCCGACCTTTTGGACATTTATCGAGGTAATCAAATCCTTGCCCGCACTTCCTGAATTGGTTTCCGGTCAATGGGTGATGTTAGTTGATGATTTTGTTTGTTGTCTTGGGGGAATTAAATCCAGAATCTTGTTTTCTATGTTACATTCGTAATTCTCTTGCATTTGAGTTGCTGAAAGGTCTTTTCACTCTATGAGTTGGTCGATGTTTTCTGTAAGTACTTAGTAGCTATATATATACACTAGTATGAGAAGCAAATTGTGTTCCATAGCCAGAATCAGATGTTCTTCTTCTTCATAATCTTTTTAAGTGTTTTCTGCAGCCCAAACATTTCAAGTGGACTTCTTAAGTCCAACGTTTCTCGTCTTTGTTTCCATAATTCTTTGGACGCTTTAACCGGACTTAAACATTTTAGAGTATGTCGTCTAGTCCGTTAAGCATGAGACATACACAAGAAATCATTACACGCCAAATATCCGACTCCGCCTCCGTTTATCGTTGTCTTCCGAGGGAACAATTTACTGACCTTTCCATTAGGAAACGAGAACGAAAAAATCACATTTTTATTGACTCCTAGAATAAGTGCCGTTGAATTTTGGTTGTCCCTTCTCGGACGGGGGCGGCTACCATGAGTGAATGGACGATAGTCGGTGCAACACTTGGCCTAGCAGTTGAAAAACTCGTTTGGTTTTCTTTAGTTCACCAAATTCCGTCATAAGATTGTTATATGTTATGTGAAAATCAAGAAAATTACATGAAGAAAACAAAAGCAAAATAAATGTCTTTAGCATGCGGTAATTACATCTTTTTAAAGAAGAAATTGCTCTTAAAAATTCTCTCGGTTAACGGCAGATGCCTTTAATGACGACTTTTAACTTATATATTGCGTATTTGAAATATAAAATTTTCGACGAATAATACTTACTTTCAGACTCTCACAATAAAAAAATAAATAACACAATATGTCATATGAACTTTGAAAAGTGTGATACATGAGCTTTTTAATTGCGAGTGCATTGAATGATTTTGAGAGCATTGAATGATTAATTGCATGATGTATTTATAGATATAGGAAAACAACTTAAGAAGTTTTAAATTTTAAACATGACTTTTGGAACTTGCCCGTATGAGACGGACGCACCCGTAAATCAAAGGACATCTTATGGACACTAGGGAACACCATCCATTGTAGGCCACGACAGTGTCGCGCTCGATAGTTGAAAATTGGTTGCAGCCACGAGTGTCAGTTGCGCGTCCAAGTGCCACGAGCCTGTACGCTCTCATTCGGATTCCAAACTCTGCCCAATTTTTTCCTACTCTTATCCAACAAACTCATTAGAGTTCTATCATGCTCAGTGCATGGTTATAGCTCGTTTGGTTTCTCCGAGTATTCAACAAAAACCAAATGATTGCAAATTTTACAATTATTGAGTTACTTAAAACTCAGTTTTTAGTTTCAAAATTATATGTTTAATACACTAATTTCGTTTGCGTAATTGTCGTATGTTCATCGCACAATGTCTTTCACACTTTCTGGGGTGAAAAAACTTAGTTTTTTATTGGGCGATGTGAAAAACATAGCAGTACTTCAAAACGGGGTGAAAATAGATATTTTCACTAAATATAATGGGCTATTCTAACACAACACAAATTGACACATAGAATTAGAGCATAAAATTACACACATAATGATATAATATATGGAGTAGCTCGAACGAACTGATCTCAGCTAGGTCGGGGTGAATGGACTTTTCATATAGCTTGACAATATAACAACTCGGCTGGACCCGTCTTTTATAGAGTTCGGTTATATGGTTGAAACCTAGCATCTTAGATATGAGACAGTGACCTCTCGACAGTTAGTGGTATTATCGACCTATGGACAGTTTGTACATGTAGACCTACTGACATTGTATTTGGTCGACCTATGTGCAGAAATACATGTAGACCTACTGACAATATATCTAGCCAACCTATGGACAGTTATGAATGTATACCTACTAACAGTGCATTTGGCACCTATGGACAATTAACAAAAGAAAACATGCAGATTGTTTGTATATGAAGGCCTATGAACAGTTTATGCATGCAGACTTATGGACGATATTATAAATAAGGGACTGAAGAAATAAGACACTTTAAGGGTGACGTGGAAGGTTTTCAAAAAAGGTTTTGGATCATCTTGGAGATAAGAATGGGTTTTGGGCAGGCCTTAGGGGCAACAAGATAACTGTCGAGAAAAATCTTCGGGCAGCCAGGGCACCCGTACAGTGGGATCATGCAGACCTTCGGGTAACCAGGTAACAGTACAATTAGGTAGATCTTGGTCAACAAGGCAAGTGTTTATTATATATAGATCTCATGTTTGTAAGTGTTAGGGTTACATGCTCTAAGGTTTACCGCTAGGAACAACCCCGATGTGTTTTGCAGGTAACTCCGGAGATCAAACCGGTTCGAGGTCATAGAAGAGCGGTTCATGAAGGAATTTCACACAACATAGAATTATGATGCACATAATTAAGACTCACTATATGTTGACCTGTGATGAACTCAAAATTTCTAGGGAAGGACAACTATCAGTAGACATGACCTCGTTTAGTATAAGACCCTGAACTGGCATGAACTGTCGGTTCATGCTTGGTTTCAGTTATTCTGGGGTTTTTTCTTAACTTAACGTTGGATTCCCAATCGTCAGATTGATCCGAAGGCCCAGACTCAATCTGATTATGGGGTCCCTAACGGTCAACTCAACCCGGCGCAGACAAAAAACTTAAAAAAAAGAGTTGAAAATCCAGACACGTCTTCCGGCCTATACACGGCGGGTAAAAACAAATTAAGACCTAAAATTGACTCATTTGTAGCGCTGGGTTGGTTCAATAGCTCGTACATACGGACATGTACCGGGCCGACGCTAACCATGTTGGTTTCTTGGATATTAAATACAATTGATCCAGTTCTTCGGTCCTATGTTCCTCATATTGAAATCGCCAAGGATCTATGGGATCATCTTCATCGTCGATTCTCCCAAATTAATGGCACACGAATTCCACAATTAAATAGAGAGTTGGCTTCTACTGTCCAGAAAGGAATGAGTATCAGTGCTTATTTCGGCAAATTGCGAAAACTATTTGATGAATTAGCCTCATATCAACCACCTCTCGCATGTAAATGTGGTCTTGCCCATGAATTTGAGAAAAGAAGGCAAGATGATGAAACCCATTAATTTCTATTGGGCCTAGGTTAGGACCTTTATGAGTCGGGTCGATCATCTCAAGACCTTTTGCCCTCTTTGGACCGAGTGTACTCGGTTATCTCACATGAAGAAAGACTCGCTTCCTCAAATTCATCGCGTAATGTTCACAATCTTGAAATCTCAGCCCGTCGTGACCTCCGTCATCCAAGTCAACCTCCACTAGTCGAGGTCGCCAGTGCTCCGTGTTCGGAAAATCCAGTCACGACACCGTCTCATGCTTCCGTGTGAAATCTTGCCCCTACTGCGAGCGGACCGACCACGATCCACGGTGATGCTACGAGATGATCGGATATCCGACGGGCAGGTCCATTTCGGCGACATAATGGCGAATCGAGGGACCTTGCATGCATCTCCTACTGACATATCTTTAAGTGGGCTGGCGGCTGGCCGTGAAAATTTCACCTCAGCTTCGGCCAAAACAAACGCCATCAGTGCCAACAATTCACCGCAACTTACTAATTTTGGGGTATGTCATATTCCGTCCTCCACAGGTTTGAGTCTCGATCAATGGCATACCCTTGTTAATCTCATTCGCCCCATTAATTTTGATTCTGGTGTTTCTGAATATTTAACTAGTAAGAATTACTCCCGTACTTGTATGTATGATTGTGGTGCTACACATCATATGACTGGTTTTTATCCATCCCTTACTGATAATTGTGATATTTTTCCTCGACCGGTACAACTTCCTGATGGCCAATTAACTGATGCGACTAAAGCTGGCTCAGTACGGCTTAGTCATAATTTGGTGTTGATCAATATCCCATTTGTACCAAGTCTTAAGTGCAGTCTTATTTCTTTATATCATATACTGGAGGATCATGGGTGTGTAGCCACTTCACTAATTTTGATTGTTTGATACAGGACTGTGCTACGAGGGCATTGATTGGTCTGGGTGAGCCAAAAAGGGTGGGGGTTATATTTTTTCCATGATCCTATGAAGGCGGTGACGGATCAAACATCAGTTAGTGGTTCTTTGGACCTGTGGCATCAACGACTGGGACATCCACCTTCAAAGGTTCTTGGAAAATTATGTATTTCGCTCCTAGTCAAGTTAGTAGTTTTGATAGTAAAGCTTACGAAGTGAGTTATCGTTCCAAGCGTACTACAAATTCTTTTCCTTCGAGTGATAATACCGGTTTGGAACCTTTTGCTTTGATTCACTGTGATTTATGGGGTCCTTCGTGTCCTCTCTTTCTCTGGAGCAAGATATTTTTTTACAACTGTTGATGATTCTTTTGTGTTGTGTGCCTTTATTTGTTGGATGACAAAAATGGTGTTTCTGCTAATTTGACTTTTTTTTTTGCTATGGTACAACGCCAGTTTCATAATTAGTGAGAGTTGTTAGAAGTGATAATGAGACTAAATTTATGTGTCTCAATTCATATTTTCAGAAAAACGGTATTTTACATGAGACATCTTGTGTTTCCACCCCTCAACATAATGGTCGTGCAGAACGCAAGCATCACCATGTTCTCAATGTGGCGCGTGCACTGCATTTTCAGGCCAATCCGCCTATTCAATTTTGGGGTCACAGTGTGTTGACTGCTGGATATCGTACTCCTACTGAAGTGTTTTTTTTTTTACTCCTACTGAAGTTGAAACGTATAATTATCACGGAGTGCGCCAATTAGTACGAACCAAAACAAGAACTGTAAAATGCAGAAGCAATAAGACCAAAGAGTTAAAAACTCTTCAGGGAAGCATCACACTTCCCCTCAGAGCTATTTCATTGATAAATCGCATACAGACATAGTTTGGACTTACAAGACTTGAACTCCCTTCTAGTCTAGCCAACACTAT